AGCTTTCCCACATTGGTGCATAACTCCACTTCCCAAGACTGGCCGAGCCTTTTCCAGTATGCGCCTTTTGTTAGCCGGCCCTTAAATGTGGGAGAGACAAGTATATGTAACCCTATGGTGGCCATTTTGCATTGGGTAGGTACAAGCTGCACACCCCTCTTTTACAGCTAGCAGTGGATATTTCCTTGCTATTATGTTTTCCCTCCTTGCTATATGCCTGAGTCGATCACAGACTTGACATGAGAACGGGTAGGTGCATATGTCAAGGCTACATTGCTGTCTCTTGGGGTGCAGGGCTTAACTCGAAAGAAGCTTCGCAAATTGAGCTACTTCAACTGCGTCGCTTATTTCAAAATTGGGAGCATCTATACAGCATGGCTACGTCTAGACTGGCATGATTTTCTGGAAATGCTTTTAACGGAAAAGCACTTTTTGCGGAAAAGCGTCCGTGCCAATCTAGATGCGGTTTTGCGCAAGAAAGCCCCGATCGCCATTTTCGTGATCTGGGCTTTTTTGCACAAAACAATACTGCGTTGTCTACACTGGCCCTCGTGTGCAAAAGCATTTGCGCAAGAGGGCTTTTGCCCGAACTGGAGCAGCATAGTATTTCCGCAAGAACACTGACAATCTTACATGAGATCGTCAGTGTTCTTGCAGAAATTCAGGTGGCCAGTGTAGACAGCTGGCAAGTTTTTCTACACCAATGAGGGTTACAGGAGTCAGAGTAAGAAGTCCTGCAGCTTGACAGCATTTCAACATTGTTTTGAAATAACTGCCTGCTGTATAGATGCGGACTAAGTTATTTCGAAAGAATGTTGCTGTGTAGACATACCCTTGGAAGGAGGTGGACCTGCTCTTGTCTATGGCCCTAGCAGACCCACTCCGTTAGCTGACCAGCTAGAGGCTTGAGTCTTTGGAATCAGTAGTGAGATCAGTTGGGTTACTGGTGAGCCAGGTAGGGCTGGAGGCAGGTGGGTCATGCCTGGGAAAGAAAGCATATTTTTGTTCATGCAGTCATCTGTCTCAGTCATTCAGGAACAGCTTTGGTGGCTTGGAAGAAGCCTTCTCTAGAGTTCCTCAGCAGAAATCCCTCCTTAATACGGGGGCAGCGAAGTGAGGAAGCAAATCAGGAGGACTCTGTGGGGGGCTGAGGACGGTGCGGGCTGACTTACAAGCTTTCACTGTAAGAGCAGCGGGAAGGGAGGTGTTTTGCTAGCCATGATTGGAGTGACTTTCAAACGCCCTTTTAATGCCACATGGAGTGACTCGTCCCTTTCTGTTTTCGGGAACAGCCTGTTTTGTTTCTCTCTGGGTCGGGGTCCTTGCGTGCTCTGAATTCTAAGAAATAAAGTGTTACGTTGCCGCCCACCAGCAAGAATAGTCCATATTTTGATGGGATTTCTCAGTTTGCATGCTGTGAGGCATAACAGACTCGGATGCAGAGATGGGTCCCCCCGCTGCCTTCCTGTGCCCTTGGGAGCAGAAGGAACTACAGCTGGGAGCCTGGAGTGATTTGAACCTCTGCCACACCTGCATGTAATAGGAGCTTCAGGGGATAGCCAAGTTCATCTGTTACAGAAAAACCCAACAAATGGTCTGGTAGCACTTTATAGACTAACAAAACATGGAGATGGGATCACGTGCCCACGAAAGCTCATGATCCCATCTCCATGTTTTGTTAGTCTATAAAATGCTACCAGACCATTTGTTGTTTTTTTCTGCATGTAATAGAGAGGGGAAGAGGGCGTAGATGCTGGAGCATTAGGAACGCATGGGGGACTGAAGCAGAAACATGGCTTGTAGCTTCACTCCAGTACGGTTACCTACCCCTAAATGTCCAGTATCAAAAGGGGGGGAATGGAAACACAGCCCCTCCCCTTGCAACAACTTTCCCACCCACGCGGTGGACGCCACGCTGCCTAATTGCTTTCCCGTCTGGAGTCTGTGGGGTCCACAGGTGTTTGCTGCCATCCATCTACTCGCTGAGTCCAGCTGCAGCACTTTGCAAGACAGCTAGGTTGTGTGTTGCTGCATGGGGAGCACAGTTAATTAGTGCTGCCTTGCAGCCAGGAAACAAAAAAACGAGCAGCTTGCTCGGCCTCGGTAAGGTGTCTGGGAGCCGGGATTGCTCAGCCTGTTAACCAGGGTAGATGGGAGAGGGGGAAGTCTATTGCTTGTGACTTTAGGATTTGGTGCTGGAGATGCAGCCCTGGAGACTGAATCGATAGCTCCGAGGTAGTTATCTAGTCCTGTCTCAGGAGGGATGCTGCCCTTCTATCACCAGGCTGTGTAAAGTCGAATCAAGTAGCAGCCTGGGGCTTCAAATCCATCCCCTTGTTTGTCCTCAGTTTCCACCATGCCTATCCTATCCCAGCTGCAAAGCCGACACATGGATGTGAATAGCAGCTGTAACATGGTGGGAGCTGGAAGCTCCGTGAGCTTATTATTGATTATGTCTCTGTTTCTGCGTGTCTGGTGAGCTAATTGTTCTGATTGGAGGAAGGGCTGCAGCTGAGTCCCCCTTTTCTCTTCTCTGGTGGCTTTTATTATGTCTCCATTCCCTAGGTGGAGAATCTTTGGCAGGTATTATTTCTGCTTGCTAGCAGCTGTAACATGGTGGGAGCTGGAAGCTCCGTGAGCTTATTATTGATTATGTCTCTGTTTCTGCGTGTCTGGTGAGCTAATTGTTCTGATTGGAGGAAGGGCTGCAGCTGAGTCCCCCTTTTCTCTTCTCTGGTGGCTTTTATTATGTCTCCATTCCCTAGGTGGAGAATCTTTGGCAGGTATTATTTCTGCTTGCTTCAGGGACGAGAGGGAACCAGACTGGGATCGGTCGCTAGCCAGCTTGATAACAAATTCACTGACACAGGGAACAATTTTTTCCTGACACGGCCAATTCGTTAATGACTCTGACGCTAAGGGCCCCAAAGGGAGGGGAACTTTGACTCTGCGAAAAACTCTCTGCCGAAGCAGAATTGCTTTATTTAAGGCTACGTCCGGCGTGTTTAAATATTAAAGCCTGAGAAATAATGGATGATGTTAGCTTAGGTTGTAAGTGCCCCTTGTTTCCTGAAGACAAGTGGTTGTGGGCGTGTGTGTGTGTGTGTGTGTGTGTGTGTGTGTGTGTGTGTTCTTCGCTGTGGATAATGTGGGGAAACCTCTTAAGAACTCCACAGGGGATGGGAAGAGATTAACCCCAATGCAGTTATTCCAGATTTACATGGTGTAGCTCAGAGCAGAATCTGACACTGACTCAATAGGGCTGCTGGTATAAATTGCCATTGCTCCGTTGACTTCAGCGGATGTCTGACCCTCCTGTATTACCACTTCTACTATATATTTGAGAGAATATATATAAATATAATATATCTCAAATATATCTAACGGTTTGTTCAAGAATCCCTCTTAAACAGGAAGAGCCAGGACAACCAAATTTGGTATGCAGCTTCCTCTTATCATAACTTAAAACAAGGTCAGGGTTTGGTTGTGCTAGGACAATGGGATGTTCCTTGAATGGGATTGTTTCTCATAAAACAGAAAGGGGAGGCTCTGCTATATAATGACCACATGGGGGCAGCAGGGAAAACAGGGACAGTTATACCATATAATGGCCACAGGGGGACAGCAAGAAAAATTGTTGTGAAGCCGTCCGAATCATTTTGTTCAGGAAATATCAAAACAAGATGTCTTGACATTTTGAAAACACTTCTCCCAATTTAAAAAAAAAAAATCATTGTACAATTTTATCAAAAAATTGGCTTTAACAAAAGGCCATTTTGCATCAGAAAACTGTTGAGACAAAAAATTCCCAACCAGCCTGTTGTAAGCAAAACAAACCAAAAAAAGGAACAAATGTAAAGTCTCCGGGAGAGAGCACGGTGTGTCTTACTTCATAATACGCTGCAGCAGCGCTGAACAAAAATGGCTGCTGAGCTCAGGGGAAACTCTTAGAAAGGCAGAGGTGTGTGATGCAGCAAATGAAAGGCATCAAAGTTTTGCAAGTTTAGTAGGTCATTGGTGCTGTGTGGAGGTCACTTCAGCTACCACGGGGATATGGCAGCAGCTGCATGTAAAATGCAGATGGGACGGCTCTTCTGTGCCAGTGAAACACCATCTCCCGGAATGGCTGGTCCCCCTTAACTCAGGCTAGCTGACGTGGCAGCTCCTAGCTTGCTGTGTTATGTGGTGAGTCCCTTGTAGTAACAGGGAGCTGTTTATTGAAACATTTGTATTAGGAGAGTTATAACAAATGGAGCACAACAGCTGTCCAGGGCTCAATTCAGCTGTTGGTCTAATTGAAAGCTGCAAGTTGACCCCTTATGCTTTGGAGAACTGGGTGTTTTGTAAGACAGGGATGACCCACATGCTAAATATCACAGACAGAACAGCCAGTGATACACCTGGAGGAACAGGAACTAGCCTCCCAAAGTTTTCCCCCACCAAATCACTCAGGCCTCTGCTGCCTAAGCTGTTGGAAATACTGCTCAGCTGGTAGCAATAACTGGTCTTTTATTTTCTGTGCAGGCTGGCCTCTGTAGAGGGTAACGTGTGCGTGTAACCCACTGGTCAGTGTATGGTACATGTCTCCCTTTGTGCTTGATCTATAGAGGATGCTGGTAGGCTGCCGTTCTCAGTATGCTAACCTGGCTCTTTGGCCCACTCTTTGGAGATATCCCCAGTCTGTGGGCCAAGATTATGGCTGTCACGCTAGGAGATCCCAAATGGCTTGCCAGCTGGCCCCTTTGGCTGGGTGAGGCCAAGTGTGGAACCAGCCAGTGCTGCTCCAAGCATCATCCAGTAGGAGGTGCTCAAGAGCGGCACTTCCCAGAGGTGCCTTGCGTATCCACATCAAGTATACGAAGTAAAGTTTGTGGAAGGGCAGTTACTGAATCCTCAGGATGGTCTGGCTACCTCCCACCGTTGAGGGAAGAGCAGACTCTCAGCTTGCTTTTTCAAGTACAGAATCCCCACCAAGGAATCAGACAGACGCGCCTCCCTTCTTTGTGCTGCTGGTGTTTATTGTGGGTTGGTTTTTAATCCCTACGGTTCAACTTTACGAAGTCCTCACGCCGATACGTTGAGGTATGTATAAAATATGTACAGGAAAGCACTGCGAGAGCCATCCCGGCCTCTAGCGTTGGGCCGTGCTCCACGGCCAGGAGTGTGGGTGAAAGAGTGATGCCTGTGTTCGAGGGCGAGGGGAGGGTCAGAAAACAGAACAATTTCCAAGTACATGAGCAAATATTTACAGGTTCCGAGACAAAAAATATATCTCCAGTGTCATCTCGAGGAGAGAGGGGTGAAGCAAAGCCCCCTCAGGCTCTATGTGTTATATTGATTTATAAGGACTAAATATATTGATTTTTCACGGGCTGTGCATCCGCCACAGCTGTGGCTGTGCAGAGCTCCGACTTTTACTTGTGTTGGCAAGGGGTCGCGGAGACAGCTCCAGCCATGGATTTGGCACTCCATGCTCTGTAGAGTTATGGAACGGCGCCTCTGACAGACCCCTGTGATCTAGAGTAAATGCCACTCAAATGAGGAGTCCATTCCAGGTGAGGAAAAAATCCAGTCAGTGCTTTTCCCAGGACTGTCCTAGTATTAAAGCAATGGAAGCAGATAGCTTAATGTATTTGGAGTAAATAGGAAGTCCTGGGCTGGATTTCTCTGCCTGCCTGGAATGGATGCAGCTGGTGGGATGCACAAGTACTTACAGCTTCTAATAGGATTCGGTTGTCAGGATGGCTTATTAGAATGGGATTCCTTGAAAGAGCCACGAAAGGTAAGTAAGCGGGGTGGGAGGTTAAAAGCTGCGCCACCAAGGGCTGTTCAGTGATTGTAACACAACGGAAAACGCTGGTGTCTAAAGCTAAATCCTGATGCCACTGCACAGCAAAATCCCCGCTGATCGGAATGGGCCTGGGACTTGTCCCCCCCATGTCGTCACGCTTGTGGAGAGAGCAGACTACATCTACAGCTGGGCGAGGCTTTCCCAGTACTTTAGCCTGCAGCACTGAGAAAAATCCTGCTCGACTTGAGCGTGGGTCTGGCTTCAACCCAGTGGATGTCGTGCTCTGCCCCGCTGCATTGCATTTGCTTTGCTGGGAAAAGGTGCAGAGGGGAGGCGTGCTACCCCTCATGCAATCTCTCCAGGCCCATGCAAGCGCTTGGGCTGCGCCAGGCCAAGAAATAGGGTAACGTCCCTCCCGGCCACTCTGTGAGTGAGAGGAGGGGACGATAGTAAGGAACCCAGAGGGAATGACAGGCCTCAGAAACATGCTAGGGAACTGCTGCGTTCCACTGCAGCTTCTGACCAAGGAGGGAGCATAATGCCAGCAACCATGAGCTCAGGGGAGAATACTACGGGCAGATGTCCTCCAATCCTGCATCCGCTCACACGCACACGTTCGCAGCTGCATGCGTGCACGTGCTTGCACTAGTGTATGCGTGCACTCGTAAATGGGTACATATGGTCAATGATGGTATATGCTCACACCTACTCGGATCTCTACAGATACTCAGTTCACACACATGCACGAATGCATTAGGCGGGGGGGTTAAAGCTAACCCACGGTTTGCTCTCTCCACACTCTTCTGACCAGGCTGTCTTCCAGGAGCTGCATGAATGCTGAGCTGGACTTCCCCTCTTGCGCTGAATCATTTGCAGTGGTGCCTGAGAATAAATGCACCAAAACCTCCTGCAAATCTCTGACCATTGAGAGCTGTCGCATCTCTGCTAGCTCGTTTCCCATGCTAGCATGACTGTAAGAGAGCGCGGTAGCCAGAGCTGCTCCCGCTGAATGGTCATGGTCTGCTCTAGTGGGCTGAGAATGGGAGCCAGGATCTCCTGACTTTAATCCCAGCTCTGCCACTGACCCCTTCTGTGGCCTTGATCACATCACTTCACCTTGCCATCTCTGCAATGGGCATAGTGATGCCTCAGCCAATGGGGCATTATTTTAGAACTGGAGCAACAGCAGCATTGAAGCCGAGCTAAGAGTAATGCTGCTGGTGGTTTGTTCTGGTTCTAAAAGCACCCATCAAGCACTAGGTGCTGGACAACTTCCCCTCTGTTGTATGTTACCACTGGGACTCGGTCACCCCATGTGTGACCCATGGGCAGTATGGCTCAAGGGGGTAGCTTTTGGGTTCACTCTCTTACCAAAACTCTTCAGCCCCTGCCACCTAAATCGCACTTTATTTCCTTAAATCTATGTGCACAAGGGGGCAGGAGGTGGTGAACAAGTGAGCGCCAAGGTGTCTGCACAAGTTGGTATTGTCTTTGCACGAGTGTGTGCAGCAGGGCATGCAAGGGTTTGTGTGTGAGGGCTCCAAATTCGTGATTTGATATTTGCACGGGCAGCTGCCTGCACAAGCGGTCTGCATATGCACCAGTGAGCCTGCATATGCACAAGTGTGCACAGCTATTTGCAAGGAGGGGCCACCTTCGGTACTGACCCCACTATTTTCACAGGGGAGGGCTCTCCTGTGCACACCTGAGCAGGTGTGAAATGTGATGATGGTGTACTAGGGAGTAATCGCATGAGACGAGACCAGAGGGTACGTGGGTGGGTCCGTTTCTACTTGATCCCGGAGCATGGCAGGTCCCCCAAGTTCCAACTGTTCGTGGTCTATGCTGGTGACACTTGACTGGAGGAGACGGAGGATACCTCGGTCTTGCTCTGGGATACGGTCGAGGAGACGTCGTCATCCCCAAAGGGGTTCTTGCCACAGCAGATGGTGGTGATCATGCAGTTACGGAACTGAAGGGAGAGAGCGAGCCGTGGCACCATTGTACCCTGCCGCCCGCCACGCTGGAGCCGTCCCTCAGACCACGAGACCAGGGGCACTTCACTGGGTTACATACAACCCCGTGCCTGAGAGGTGGTCCCCACCCCCCCAGGGGCGAAACGTGGCAGCTGTTCTAACCACGCAGGCAGCACTAAACAAACGAAGGCAGAAAGCGATGGGGGAACCGCATTCAACTGGCTTCTGTCCTGGGACCGGGGTGCGCTGAGGCAGGAGGGAGGGGCCTCTGCAGAGCTGCCGTGAGGCGCACGACTGGAATAGCAAGAAGACGGTAGGCAGGCCTGCCCATGGGGCGTGCCCCAGGACCCAGTGATTCTAAAGGGACTCAGTGGTGGTGCCCACTCCCGGGCCTTTTATGTCGCTGCAGGAGCATCGTGCAGCCAGGTCTGGGGGGCTGTAAGGGCTAGGGGGGCCAACATGGCATGCTCTGAGCAGTGCTGCCAGCTGGCTGCCCCTGGCTCTGCCCAGGACCGGCCCACGACATTTTGGCACCTGAGGTGGGGAGCTCAGATGATGCCCCCATGTCCCCTCGCTTGGGCCGAAACTTTGAAAGGTCTCAATTCTGCCTCCTTCCTGTTCTGCTCCTCTCATGGCCCTGCTCTGCTACCTACAGATGCACCAGCAGCAGACACAATTTTCTACACTCTGGGTCCTAGTGGCGCACCGCCCCCTCCCCCCACACTCTGGCACCTGAGGCGCCCACCTGAGTCCACCCCATGGTAGGGCCAGCCCTGGCTCCGCCCCTCCAGGAGCATGGACCCGCCCCCTGTGCCTTGCCCACAGGCTGTCTGCTGACTGGACGGGAGGATCAGGGGGCATTTGTAGAGCTGTATGAGGGGGAGGCGGAAGCAGAGTATTGGGGGTGCTGCAGGACGGGCCTGAGATGCATCGGCAGAGCTGAGTAGAGGGAGCCCGGGGTGGAATAGCCGGGGGACGCTGCAGGATAGGCCTGGTGCATTGGCGGGGGGCACAGAACTGCAAGAGCGGGAGATGCTCTCGGCCAAGTTCACTGAGAGACCTGAGAGAGGGGGCCTAGGACAGGAACAGCCTGGGCAGGGCAGGTTCCTCCCCCGTGCCCCGAGAGCCTCACCTGCTTGTTCATGAGGACGTAGATGATGGGGTTGTAGAGAGAGGAGCTCTTGGAGAAGAAGGCAGGCACTGACATGAGAGTAGCGGAGAAGTCCGCCCCCTTGTTGGTGAAGATCCAGAACGCCACCACGGCGTAGGGCGTCCAGGCCAAGAGGAAGCCCAGAACCATTAGGATCACCATGCGGGTCACCTCCCTCTCCGCCTTCTGGGTGCTCGCCGACTCCTGCTGCTGGGCCGCGGCCTGCGAGAGAGGGAGAGGGCAGTGAGTCAAGGAGCAAACTGCCGCTCCCTGAGCAAGCTAGAAAGAACTGACGTGGCTAGGGTCGGGGTACAGATCTCAACCCCTCTCCTAGGGAAGCTGCCCCCGGGCCTGAGGCCTTTCCATTCATATTGCATCATGCCCAGCATTGACCTAGACACGGCACAAGGGAGATCCGGGGGCAGACACCTGGTCCACGGCTCAGGACGCAGGCTGAGACTGGAGCACAGATTTACACCTACGCAGCACACTCCCACTAACCCGCTTACCTGCAGAAAGGAGGAGCTGAAAGGGGCACAGGCCTGTCTCTGATTTGTGCGTGCGGAGAGTCATCCCTGCTTTAGATCCCCCTTTGAGGCACTAAACCCCCTCACCACCCGCTGGCAACTTATGGACATAAAGTTTGATGCCTCTTTGCTAAGCCCCTGTCTCCAGATGTGCTGGGGGAGCGAGTGGCGCTAACACCAGTGGGCGAATCATAGATGCCGCAGCAAGAAGAGACCGCGGTGGTCATGGAGTCTGAGCTGGCCAAACGGGTGTGAGATTGCCTTGCCCATCAGACGGTGCTGCCCTGCCGGTGCTCCGAGAGAACCTGCGCTACGGCTGTGGAGCAACACCCTCTCCCTCCCTCTGCTCGTTGCCATGCTCTGCACCCCGTACCTCTCGGACTTTGCAGATGAGCTGCCCGTAGGAGAAGAAGATGATCACCACCGGGATGACGAAGTGGCCCATGAACATGTAGACCACGTAGGATTCGTTGTGGTAGTCGGGGTTGAGGGTGTAATAGTCAGGACCGCAGGAGCACTGCATGCCCTCGGGAATGTATCTGCCAAGCAAGAGCGCAAGCAAAGCAGAAGGGTTAGACCCTGCATGTCACAGGGGCGCCCGGGTGCAGCCTTCTGATGGGACTGGGTTGACACAGGTGAGGGGACCTAGACTCTCTGCCCCCAGGAGGGCTTGCCCACAGAAGAGCAAGCAGGTGATTCCGGTATAAAAGGGCCCAGGCATCGGCAGGCAGGGGGGGTGGGAGAGAGTAGCCGAGCCTGCCAGAGGAAGCCTGACAGGAAGACGCTCAGGACACAGGAGGTTAGGTGGCCCTGGCGCTGATGGAAGGTGCTTCTGCGGAGAGCACACAAGGCCCCGCTAGCGCCTGAGTGGGTGTTGAAGAAGGGAAGGTGAGCAAGTGTGTGTGTGCGTGTGTGTGTGTGTGTGTGTGTGTGTGTGTACTTCTGAGGGCTGGCTTTGGACAAACTCTCTTGTCATCCTGAGAGGAAAAAGTGACTTAAAAGGCTGGTTGCAGACAGTTTATTTCTGTCCCTCCATGGCTGAGCATTAGGCTGTCCGATGCCACCTGCTCTTTCTCCTGCGGAGCAGAGATGACAGGGAGCCTCAATGCAGGTATCACCTCTGAGGTGTCGTGGATTCCCTGTTGTGGAGGGGTTGTGTCCCTGCCCATCTTGGCTAATAGCCATTGACAGACCTCTCGTTCACGCTGGTTTAAATTTTTGTCTGTAGAATTCAATATAGAATAATTGTTTTCCTTAGGCTTTTCCAAGCATCCTACAGAATTCACAAGAGAATTCTTTCCCCGCTGTTGGGTTTTTGTTCTAACTAGACCTATAGGGTGGATCTCTATAAACTCCCATAGGGCTTCAGAGTAATATTGGGCCAAGCTAGGATTGTGAACAGAGCTAACCAGACTCCAATTACACTTCTGTAGCATCCTGCTGGGTTCATCTCTAGTCAGTTCTTTAGTGCACAGCCATAAAGAGAGAGATTTAGGGATGGGGGACCCAAACTAAAACCCCTTAATTTACTTAGAACTCTGCCGGGATCAGGACATGAGCTATTAAAGCAACAAAGCTGCTTTTGAGTCATAGGAACCCCAAACCTGACACACTAAGGGTATGTCTACACTACCCCGCTAGTTCAAACTAGCGGGGTAATGTATGCATACCGAACGTGCAAATGAAGCCCGGGATTTGAATTTCCTGGGCTTCATTTGCATGAAGCTGGCCGGCGCCTTTTTTAAATGCCGGCTTGTTCGAACCCCATGCCGCGCGGCTACACGCGGCACGGGCTAGATAGTTTGGACTAGCAAGCCATTCCGAACTATCTGTACGCCTCGTTCCACGAGGTGGTGAGCAACTATCTAGCCCGTGCCGCGTGTAGCCACGCAGCACGGGGTTCGAACAAGCCGGCATTTAAAAATGGCGCCGGCCGGCTTATGCAAATGAAGCCCGGGAAATTCAAATCCCGGGCTTCATTTGCACGTTCGGTATGCATACATTACCCCGCTAGTTTGAACTAGCGGGGTAGTGTAGACATACCCTTAGTGTGTCAGGGTTGGGGGTCCTATGACTCAAAAGCAGCTTTGTTGCTTTAATAGCTCATGTCCTGATCCCGGCAGAGTTCTAAGTAAATTTGCTCCAGCAGGTAGCCCTCTTGACTCGCTGCCTGGAGTACATGCAAGTCCTTTTCAGGATCAGGTGCCAATCAGCAGGAGGGCCAAGGTGAGGCTAGACAGTTTGCCTGTGCTGCAGGGGAAATGATGAGTGAACTCACGTGGAAGACACTAGATTGACAGCGTGAGTCCCGTGTTTATCTACAGAGCTTATACGGTGGAAGCTGAGCAGGTCGGACAGATATTTACCAGGGATGATCTAGACAGTGCTGGATCCTGCCATGAGGGCAGGGGACTGGACTTGATGACCTCTCGAGGTCCCTTCCAGTTCTAGTGTTCTGTGATTCTGAAGCCTTGCAAGCTCTGTGTTCTGTGTTTCAGTCCTGACTGCCCAGCTCCCACCCAACATGCTATCTGGGCTCAACGTCAAACGATGGTACCCACACTACCTGCAATCTTCATCTTAATCCATTGGCTTCACTGGGACTGACTGTCCTAGATAACGGTTAGCCCCTTGAGCTGCCGTTGCAGGATTGGGCCCCTCTGAATTCGGCTGAAGCTAAGGAAGCCTGCCATGATTGCTGGAGCAGGGATGAGCGTGTGTCTGGCTGGCAATGTTCCCTCTCATTTTTCTCCCCATGTGCAGATTTTTTCCCATCTGTGTATGGAATAATTTTATGTGCACTGAGGCAGGTGTGAATGTGCACCACCAGTAGAAACAAACACCCTGGTTGTGGGCGCTCTGCTAATCAGCTGGGCAACGTTGGGGATCTCTCCTGAGCAGCCGCACACATCACAGCTGTTTGATGGAGGGCAGCAGGTGGCCTCCCGCCTTAGACACTTGCGTTATGAGCAGCCTTTGCTTGCTCCGAGCTCACAAGCAAGAACAGAGACTCGGTCCACTCATTGCGTGGAGAGCTTGGGCTCCTGTTTCCCTTCCTGATCGGGGTGGTGAGCAACGAGCACGTGGGTCTGTATTTTGCCACGGCAAGTTCTTCCCTCCTATAGCTGGGCTTTCTGAATAGAACAGCTTGGGGCAGGGGCTGGAGGAGGTTGCAGTGTCCGAGCAGAACTCTGCACGGGACTCAGGACTAGTACAGCAGGCAGGGATGTGGGGCCAAAATGAAACACGTCGGCAGAGCTGGGGTGAAACCCAGGACTGGAATCGCAGAGACACGAACAGTCAGGGCTGAGGTGGTGCATGAGCAGTGCTGCGTGTGGGGCATCTAGGACACGAATAGCTACAGGGGCTGTAGGGGAGGATGGAGGAGCTCTGGCAGAGCTGTGTAAGGGATGCTTAGGGGCGTGCAGTTATGTTTTCAGGAAGGCTCTCGAAGCACAGAGTGATCCTGCTCTCGTGGCTGGCGTAAATCAGGAGTGAGTCTATTTAAGTCAACGGCATTACACCAATATAAACCCAGCGCATGCAGATTAGAGGCAGACCCCTAATTGCTGCTGTCTTTCAAGTGCTCATGCATAGGGGGCGGATGTGAGTATTTCCACAGTGGTATTTAGCCAGAGGGCTGTAAATGCTGTCTGCATTGCGTATCACTCACCTGGACCAGCCAAACAGGGGTGGAGCAGCACAGGAAAAGGCCATGACCCAGGTAAAACTGATGCCCATCAAGGCATGGGTGGCAGAGAAGCGGAAGTTGCCCATGGGCTTACAAACCACGATATAACGCTCTATCGCCAGGACGACCAGCGACCACAAGGCAACCTGACCTGGGGGAGAAAGAGAGAGAGAGCAATCTAACATGAGTGTGCTGTTAAAGATCTCAGGGTCTGACCTGCTCTTGTGTGAACAGAACGGAAGCGTGACCTAGTGGGTACAGCACAGGACCAGGAGTTAGGGTTGAACTGGACCTGGTCCCCTGCAGCCTCCCCATCTCCCTGGGCTGGAGCAGTCTGCTTTTACAGCGCCTGAGCAGTCTGCACTCAAGAGCCAATTTAAGCTTCTAAAAGTGTCTTCTTTCGGGTCCTGGTCATTTGTCATCCCCTGAAGTCAAGGGGCCAAGCCTCAAGCTGGTGTAAGGAAGCACGGCTCAAGGGGTGAACCTTCCCTTCCTCTATTTCTGAACCAGTCTCTAACTGGTGTGAGTGTTCCCACCACAGGCGAAGGCGCCCAGGCCAGGGCTGGCGTGTTTATCTGTCAAAGGATAATCAAACCTCAGGGGATTAGGAGTGGTTAGCCTGTGCCATAAGCCTGTTAATGCCCCCAGCGTGTGCTTATCTGCTGCACGGCTCAAGGGGTGAACCTTCCCTTCCTCTATTTCTGAACCAGTCTCTAACTGGTGTGAGTGTTCCCACCACAGGCGAAGGCGCCCAGGCCAGGGCTGGCGTGTTTATCTGTCAAAGGATAATCAAACCTCAGGGGATTAGGAGTGGTTAGCCTGTGCCATAAGCCTGTTAATGCCCCCAGCGTGTGCTTATCTGCTGATCGCTACCTCCCCCCCCCCTTTGGCTTTCATGAAGAACGGTAGCTCTTTCTGCTTCCCTTTTGTGTGAACTTTCTTCTTTCTTTCCCCCCACAGTTGGGATCCTCCTTGTTCCTGGCGGGTGACAAATTGGGCAGCCTGGATAAGAGGGAGAGCCTGAAAGAGCATGAAAGGTTAGAAGCTATTGCCAGGGACCAAGAGGAGGCCTTTTCACTGAAGGAATTAGCGATCACATTCATGGCCCTTAATTCTCCCTAATAGAGATCTTGCCCCTGTTTCAGGCTGACATAGACTG